AGTTAATATTTTTAATTAGAGACAGGGTCTCCCTAATTTGTATGCCATTGCACCCAGCAATACGTTTCTTGTAAGGTAATGTCCTTTGTTTCCATTGGTAGGTATTTCTATAGTCACATGGGCATGAAATACCTTTATACTCTATAGAAGACATATCTTTCAAGGGCAATCAAATATTCTACAACATCTCTCTTTCAGCAGAGAGGAAGATTACAGCATTCAAACTAGATACGTTCAAAGTTCTGAAAATCATTTTCTGACTACACCTCATTCATATCTTCCATAGACTTTCACACCTCATAGATTCACACTTCATAGCCTCTTTGCAGCTCTTAAAATGCCTGCAATTTACTTTCACCTAGTCAAAACAGCATCTTTCCTAACACACTAAGGGGAACTCACTAACACTGAGCTTCATCTTGATATCCAACTCTATTCTTATTCTTTTTTGGAATATTTCATCTTCCCAATTTAAACTACACACTTCTACTATGAGAAGGATGCGTTTTGGAAACATATTTGTAAATACTCATACTTATATATTCCAAATGTAACATTATATTATAATAAATAAAAATAATATTATATTTGCAACACATGGGCCACAAATCAAGAAGCTAACATTGCAGTTCACTATTTTATTGATCTGTAAGTAGTGCTAGGCAATGACACATAAAAGATAAATGATAAACCCTATTTGAAAATGTATCTTTCATGTTAAAATCACTCAGCTGAGCATATGCAGAGAAACTTATTTGAATATCCATCCTGTGCCTTCAATGGCACTGAAAGAGGTAATTAAATTCTGGGCAAATAACGAACGAAAGTATAGACTATGGATACAATTAAAACAGGACCTTTCCTTTTTTTCTTATTACAGGCTTATTTATAGGTGAAAATGGTTGGTAAATACTTGGGTGTAGATGAGAATCAGTATAGTATGAAAGGTTATCTTATTGACACAAAACAAGTGCACTCAAATTCTAAGTGCTTACACTTCTCTTTGTTTATAACAGAGGTGCTCAAAGTTTGGACTTTGAGGCCTAGCGGCCCACAAAATCATTTTAGGGGGTCTGACACTAATTTAAAAAGAAAAAAAAAAACTGTAAGTACATAATAGAACAATCAGTAGAACCGAGGGAAGGGAACAGGGTGGGAGGAAGGGAGGGGAAGAGAAGTATTGAGAACTTAATTAGATGAAATTTTATTCCATTCTTTTGTAATTATATCAAAATTAATTCTATTATCATATATAACTAAAAAGAGCCAATAAGAAAAACTATTTTTATAAACTCTTTTGCCATTTTTTATTTCATTCTTATAAGAGTGTACAGTGGAGTTTTCCAGAAGCTACATGATGAATGACATCACATTAGATTAAATACAGAAGCAAGAATGAGAATGAAGCTGTTTTTTTTAATTTAGCCAGACTTTGAAGAGATTTATAACTCTATTTTTTCTCTTGCTAATATTTTTTTAAATACAGTTACATTTCATAAACAGTGTTATTTATTTTCAATATATAATAGGTTTACTATTGTTATTTTAATTGAATGAATAAACAAATAATTTAAAAGTTGTCTAGGTTTTAATTCTAATATGATAAATGACAATATAAATAATCTATAAAAATAAAATGTATTTGGGATCCTTAATAATTCTTTAGTATAAATGGCTTCAGAGACCAAATAGTTTTTATTTCACCTTGGTGATCTCATTGAATCCCATATATTATAGGCTGAATTGCATTATTAGTAGAGTTCATAATGGAGTAGGGTGGGCCTGCTCTAACATGACTTGTGTCTTTATTATAAGAACACCATGTGAAAAGACAGACATGCACACAGGGAGAATGCCATATGAAAACTAGTGTCATGGTGCCACAAGTCAATAAACTACCAGAAGCTAGGGGAAAGGCATGGAACAGATCCTGCTCTTGTGTGTTTGTAAGTAACATAGCCCTAATGATATCTTAATTTTGAATTTCTAGCCTCTGGAAGTATGAGATAGTATACATCTATTTTTGTAAGCCCTCCAGTTTTTGGCATTTTGTTATGGAAACCTAGCAAACTAGCATATCATAATTTTAATCTTCAACAAAAACAATGATTCCTAAGTCTAGCTCAGACCTCTTTCCTGAGTTTCATATTCACATAAACAATGACTTATCAGAAATTTTCCTACTCTATAAGGCATCTAGAAACTAAACATTGTCAAAATGACAATAATCATTGTAACCCCCGCCCCCGACCAAATCTGCTCTATTCCTGAATTTTATTTCTCTGAGAATAATGCCACCTTCTCAAATGCCTTCCTCCCTTTATTCCCACATCTTACCAATCATCAGAGACTGGTAGTTCAATCTTTCAACATCCTTTTGAGATAAAATTTTATTTGTCAACTTGGCTGGTTCATGTGGCCCAGATATTTGGTCAAATGTTATTCTGGATGTTTCTGTGAGGATGTTTTAGATGAAATTAACTTTCAAACTGGTGGACTTTGAGTCAAGCAGATTGCCCTCCATTATGTAAATGGACCTCATTCAATCAGTTAAGACCTGAATAAAACGCAAAGACTAATTTCCTCTGAACAAGTGGGAGTTCTGCAGCAGATAATCTTCAGACTTGAACTGCAACATTGGCTCTTCCCTGGGTCTCCAGCCTGCTGTCTTACTCTGTTGATATTGGACTTGTCAGCCTTCATATCACAGGAACCAATTCCTTAAAAGAAGTCCCTCTCTCCACTCTCTCTACAGAGAACTTTTTTTTAAATTTACTTATTTATATTATTATTATTATTATTTGCATTACAATACAGAGAACTTTTATACACCTCTTACTGATCATTTTTTTTAACCTTCTTGTTGCTGCAAAGTTCAGGCCACTATCAGCTCTTGTTTGCACCATGAGAGTATCCTCAAAACCTTTGCTGTCTCAAACCTTTCCTGTCTGGATGCATTCTTTCTGGTTTTGCCCAAATGGTCTAAGAAACCTAAGTTCATCATTTTTCAATTTATAAAAATTCATAGGCTTCCAATATTTTTCAGGATAAGACCCTTAGCACACCACAAAAGAAAGCTCACAATCTACCCATTACTACCACTTCTAGTGAGCCTCTTCTCTCACTACTCCTCCATGCACAAAAGGGAACTAACTTTTAGCACTCTTCTATTAATTTTATTACCTTATAAGTGATAAGTTCCTGCAAATATACATTGAAATACTGGGCGATTACTTCCTAATTGAGTAACCTTCAGTCAAAACACTACTTCTCTTGATCCTAATTATAAATTTGTTTGCTAAATTATGTGGAGACTACTCTCTTTATAAAATTCAGGTGTTTATATAACAACTTTTATTCTCTTGAAATTATGTTAATGTGTTTCTTGGACAGAAGAAATAAACTACAGTCAATTTCTGAAAAATTTTATGTATTTCAAAAGTATGAAGAATACAATCAATGGCATAGATATTATTTTATGAAATTAGCCATTAAAAGGCATTACAGCAGAATACTTGATAATGATTAATCACTTTAAACACATAATAACAGTTAATAATTAAACTCTGGTCACAAACTGCCTGGGTTCAAATCTAGGTTCTACCTCTTACTACCTTTGTGATCTTGGGCAATTTCTCTTAGTTTAGCATTTATTTATTTATTTTTGGCACCAGGGATTGGACCTAAGGGTGCTTTACCATATCCCCAGCCCTGTTTGTTTGTTTGTTTATTTATTTATTTTGAGAAATGATCTCACTAGGTTGCTTATTACCTAAGTTGCTGAGGCTGGCTTCAGTAGCTGAACCTGCAAGTCTCCTGCCTCAGCCTCCTGAGCCACTGGGATTACAGATGTGCACCACCACATCTGGCTTCCTCATTTTACAATGAGGTAATAGAACTTTCTTCATAGGGTTTTATGAGGATTAAGTAGGGTTAAAGATGTAAAACAGCTAAGATAGTTCTTGGTACATGCTATATGACAGTTGCTATTTTGACAGTGGTAAGGATAAGTGCACAGATAATATAGCCAGACTACTTGGATTCTATTTCAAAGCTAATATTTTCTATTTGTGCAAATTTGGAAAAGTTCCTTAATTTATACGAGCCTCAATTTCCTGTATGTAAAATAAGATAATCATAGCATCTTCCTCATACATATGTGAGAATTGACCTAAAAATCTTAAAATAGTGCTTGGCATGTGGCTGATATTATACAGTGCTTCTAAGTTTTACTATTGTTATCTTCAATGATAAATGGTCCAATATTAGTCATACTACCTATTATCTTATTCAGATTTTATTTTGTTTGAAAATCTCTAAGCCTCTGGTGGTGAAGGCTATGTTCTTTATTCTTAAATTTTCAGAGTACAAATACCTGTTTACCAATCACTTTCTTCTTTTTCTCTCTCTTTAAAAACTAAGTCAAATCAAAGAACCCACCTAAAATATATGATCATTCTTGCTAAGCAAGGAAACAACTTACTTTACACTAATGTGGATGGGCCAGCAACTTTTACTTAGGCTCAGAGCTGAATAAGATGCTCTGCTATTTTTTTCAACTTGTAATAGTGCTGTCAATATCTATTATGACTTGAAGTGTTCAAGCCCTCAAGGAAGACTGTTGTAACTGCACTTCCAACTGATATGTACCACCAAAGTGAAACTAAGGTCTAGGCCACATCTCTCCATGCTGTGTTTTTCACTTTTCATCTCACTCCCTTCTTCCTTTACCACTGCCTCATTCAGATCATTATAATAAAATCAATGAGAAAAAGATGATCTCAACAACATAACACCTTGCACTGATTATCAAAATCCTGAATGCTCAGTGTAGCGTGAGAAGTGATAGATAGTATCATTAGAGAAATTGGACACAAGTAATTAATAATACTGTAAATTTTCTATGAATATGATTATTTACTTTATAGTCGAAAAATCAACTAGTGAAATTATTTTGCACTTTTGTTATCTTTTAAAAATAATTAGAAATACTTCTGTACCTTTGTTTATATCGATGAGCTGTTTCTTTTTCTTCTGGCGTTCCACTTTTTCTTGTTCAGCTTTCTCTTTTGCAAGCTTTGCCCTCCTAGTCTTCTCTTCCATTTCTCTTCTCTTATTGTTTTCTTTTACTGCTTCCTGTAGGTATAAACACAATTAAACAAAATCCTTTCCATGAGTTTTATAATGGAGAAGTCACATGGTTTTAAAATTATACAAATATGCAGAGATGGAAAGTTACTATAGCATCCTCAAAGTGTGTGCATATGTTTTTAAGAATGACAACTAATTAATCTTAAGACAGCTCTTCTTGAAAATAATTTAGAAATAACTGAGTCTTCAATTGCCACTATCTGGGGTGCAGGAAAATTAGGGACATCAATGTTGCAGATTTAGCAATAAAATGCTTTCTCCATTGTTGAAATATGAAATAGTTTTGATACGAGAAAAAGCTTAATATGGCTCAGCAAGTATTTTATTACTTACTGTACAGTTTTTTGTTATCTGCAAAGTGGAAATAAAAAAAAACAACTACCTCATAGGATTTTTGTGAGGAGAACTGAGGATTTTTGTGAGAAGTGTTTTAAGCACTTAAAGTACTTAGAACAGAGTTTAATATAATCAAGAAATTTTAGACTATGATGATGATGGTGGTGGTTACAGTGCTATTGGTAATGATTACATCTAATGATGCAGAGCATAAAACAATCAGCACTATTATCACAGAAGAGAAATATCTGTAAGTTTAGTCACTTTTTATGTGAAAAAATATTTCAAAATCTTCAAACATATTTCAAGCTATTGTCTGTTTTATTTTGGTTAGATTATTTGTGGAATGTCAGTGAATGAGTATATTTCAGTAGATGGTGTTAGAGTTGAAGTAAAATGATTGGCTGGAATAATATCAACTTCCTCAGAGTTCAGACAAGTCACTAATACAGAGACATATCAACTACAAGTTCCTTCCATCAAGTTGTTCTGGTTTTATTTCCTGTTATGATTGATTAGATATACTTCATAGCATGTACAAACTATTTTGCCCAACTTACTTTGTTCCAGAAACCCTAAAGAAAAAGACTCAATAACAAGAATACATCTACAAGACTTTGCCTGAAGCAATCTATATTGAAATGTTTTTTCTTCATGTTAAAAGATATAATAGTTTAGGGCTAGGGCTGTAGTTCAGTAGTAAAGCATCTGCCTCACATGTGTGGGGCACTGGGTTTGATCCTTAGCATCACATAAAAATAAATAAATATATTGTGTATTAAAAAAAGATACAATAGTTTAAAATATCCCTAAAAACACTTCCAAACTCTCCTGACTTGTGTGAGTTGATTTTCTTCTACAAAATCTAAATGAGCTGTGGATGGTTCTGCACACTTGTAACCCCAGCTACTCAGGAGCTGAGGCAGGAGGATTGCTAGATTGAGGCCAGCCTAAACAACAGAGAAAGACCAGATCTTAAAAAATAAAAAGGAATGGGGATATAGTTCAGTGCTTTCCTAGTGTGGGTGAGCCTCTAAAGTGAGCCCATTGATTCAATCCCCAGTACTGAAAAACAACAACAAAAACCAAACAAACAAAAAACCACACACAAAACCTCTAAATGATTTTATCTTTATTGGTATCTCCTCTTACATTACCCTTGTTAGGTTAATATCTCCTAGCAAAAGATTATGAGCACAAAACTATCTGGCAACTGTACACAAACTCAAAGAAAACCATATAAAATAAACTGGAAAATGAGAATCAGAATTTTAGAGCAGCTTCTCAAACCCAGCTTTACTGTCAATTTGGGTTGGATAGTTCTTCGTGGTAGAACTATAATGCCGTCCTGTGCATTATAGGACATTCAGCAGCATCCTTGGCTTCTACCTACTAGATACCCAGTAGCATCTTTTTCAAATATGACAACCAAAACTGTCTCCAGAGATTACCAAAGGTTGCCTAGAGGGGAAAACTGACTAACTTGAGAACTACTAACTTAAGGGGTTTTAGAAAGATAATGTACTCAGAAAAAAATATCACATACTACTACTACTCTGTAGAACCAATCGTCCTTTTACAGTCATGGAAAATGAGTTCCAAATGAGCATATATATTTACCTAGGGTCTCTAAATTTATATAATTACAAGGTTGGGAAGAGAACCCTTGTCTTTTCACTCATATTTTAGTGTCAGCTTTGTTCATTAAGGAAAAATAAAATGTAGATGTGGCACCAAAAGTATAAGCAATAGCCCCTCAAAAAATAGACAAATTAGACTTCAACAAAATTCAAAGTTTTTGTTCACCAAATTATACCCAAAGAAGGTGAAGAAACAACCCACAGAATGGGAGAAAGTATCTGAAAATAATATATCTAATAAGAATATATAAGCCAGGCCAGGCACAGTGGTGTACTCCTGTAATCCCAGCTGCTTGGGAAGCTGAGGCAGGAGGATTGCAAGTTCAAAGCCAGCCTCAGAAACTTATGGAAGCACTAAGCAACTCAGTGAGACCCTGTCTCTAAATAAAATACAAAAAGGGCTGGGCATGTGGCTCAGTGGTTGACTGCCCCTGGAATCAAACCCCAATAAGAAAAAGAAAAAGAAAAAGAAAAAGGAAAAGAAAAAGAAAAAGAAAGAAAGAAAGAAAGAAAAGAATATATAAAGAACATCTCAAAGAGGAATGAAGGGAAGGGAGAAGAAAGAAAGAAGAAGAAAATACAGTGGAATGAATCTGACATTATTTTCCTATGTACATAAATGAATACACCACAGTGAATCTCCAGATCTTGTACAACCACAAGCCTGGAAACCTAATTAGAACAAGATGTATTCCATGTTGTATAAATATGTCAAAATACACTCTACTATTTCGTGTATAACTAAAAAGAATTTTTAAAAGGTGAAAAAAGAATATATAAAGAACATCTACAACTCAATAAAATGGCAACTCAATAAAAATGTACAAAGCATTTGCAAAGATATTTCTCAGAAACCATGAATATTGCTAATAAGTACATGAAAAGATGTTCAACATCATTAATCACTAGGAAAATACAAATCACAATCATATTGAATGGGCTGGAAGTATAGCTCAGTGGTAGAGTACTTGCCTAGTATGTAGAAGGTTCTGAATTCAATTCCCAATGCCACCAAAAATGAAAATAAAAAAAAATACATTGAGGTACTACTTCATACCCACTATGACGGCTATAGTAATTTTTAAAAAGAACAGAAAACAAATGAGGATGTGGAGAAATTGAAACTTTTGTGAATTACTCATGTGAATGTAAAATGGTGGTCATTTGAGAAAACTGGGAATTCTTTAAAACACTAAGCAGAGTAAATGGTAGCATAACCTGATTTGTTGAGATCCCCAGAGTCATGCCTCCCAACCTACAGAAGCATTGCAGTTACATGAGCATTATTCCTAACAGCTGAAAAGTAAAACAAACTCAAATGTTTACCAACTAGTGAATGGATAAACAAAATACAGTATATATCCATACAATGGAATATTATTCAGCAATAAAAAGAATGAAATACTGATTCTTGCTGAAATTATGGATGAATCTCAAAAAATACCATAATTAATTAAGATGCCAAGCATAAAAGGTCACATATTGTGTGATTCCATTTATATGTAATGTCCAGAACAGGCAAATCCATAGAGACAGAAAGTGGATGCATGGTTGTGAGGAGGTGGAGGAAGGGTTTCTTCCTGGGGGTGATGAAATTGTTCTGGAATTAGTGGTGATGGTTGCACAACCTTGTGAATATACTAAAAACTACAGAACTGTATACATTAAAAGAAAATTTTATGATATATAAATTACATTTCAAAAATTAACATTGAACATTTAAAAAATAGATATCGGAGAAAGGCAGGATTGAAATAAAATAATAACTCAAGGAAAAAGAAAGACAATGTGAAAAGGTATCATATATTCAGACCCTGATGCTATAAGCTGTATGACTTTTGGTCAGTAACATAAGATGCAAGCAGCATAGGAAAGAAGGTTAATGTCATGCATATGTTATTACCTGTCAAATCTCTGATGTGCTAAAGAATCACAAGATCTCAGTAGACTCCTGTATTAATAATCTACTGGGGTATGTTAGCTGTAGATTACTGTCATTAGGGATCTTCACTAAAAGTTCATTAAAATGGAGGGAAAAGATCCCAACTGTTATCTTGCATTTGTATTTCTTCTTCTGGTAATATAAAATATATATTTGGTCTTCCCAGTTTCCTGGCATACAACTCCTAAAATCCTTGGAATCTGCAAAGTAATAGTGTCTTTTCGTAGGCTAATAATATTAAAAGTGGTTGGTAGCCACTTCAGAACTTCTGGAAAAATAAAGGGAAGATTAAAAACATGGAATTTTCAATTTCAAATTCCAATCTGGGGAGAGAAGAGGGACAGAAGGTTAAAATGATCACCAATTGCCAACACTTTAATCAATCATGCCTTTGTAATGAAACCTCCATAAAACCCCAAAAGGATCGGGTTCAGAGAGTTTGCAGACAGATAAATATGTGGGGGCTTGCAGGAAGATCAACAGGAACGTGTCCCTGTGCTGGGAGGGTGGTATACTCTCCATGGAGACAACTCCAGAGAGACAGAAACTCCTGCAATTGGGACTCTTCCAGACCTGGCCCTGTATAACTCTTCATCTGGCTGTTTATTGTATCCTCTAAATATTGTTCATAGTAAACTGGTAAACATGTTTCCCTGAGTCCTGTGAGCCATTCTAGCAAATTCATTGAAAAGCTGATGTGAGGGTAATGGTGGTGAGGGGGTGTCCGTGGAACCCTGAATTATAACCAGTTTCACAGGTCAAACAAACCTGGGCCTGGTATCTGAAGTGGGAAGAGAAGCAATCTTGGGGACTGAGCCATCAACCTTTGGGATCTAACACTATAGTACCTGAGTTGACATGGATTAGAGCACACCCAGCTGGTATCATGATTACAAAATTGTTCACAGGTAGGGAGAAACATCCACATGTTTTACAGCCATAAAAGTCTTCTGTGTTGATTATTGTGGTGGAAGAGCAGAGGGAAAACAATTTTTCTACACACATCTTTATTCTGATAATAACAGCTACTCTAATGATAATCTATTATGTAGTAGGTATTTT